AGTGTGAAGTAATGAAAGCTGAGCACAAGGCAGACACCTCGAGTCTGTTATGTCTACTGTAGCTGTGTCTCCTGCACTGCACACAAGTTGTCAAGCTGTAATGATCCATGGCTAAATTACCAACTGATCCAATCTGAAAATGCATTCCTTCCAACAATATTTATTGAATGACTCAGCCATTATAATTTCTAATTTGCTGGATGAGTGGTCTACTGTACCAGTGACGTTCTCTCTTAAGTCCTGTTTTTCATTGAAACAAGATGAGAGCTCACACTTTGCATGTCTCCTATCAAAATGACAAGCATCCCATTACAGAGTCCATTACACACTAACAAAATGAATCACTCATCCTCCCGACTGAGGCAGCTGACATTCACTTTAAGCCATTTTCAACCACATTTGCATTTTGCCTTTTCCCTTCTGAGGTGATATTTAACACAGCTGACATGATGCTGGTGGTGGCTAGTTCAACTAGATTTCAAATCTAACTGATTAGGCGCTGATGCATTCTGGGACACAACACTCACACACACACGTTTTGTTAGCTGATATGTAGGTACAGTATGTGTACAAACATACACAAACTTGCCTTGAACTCATAGGACTCTTCTATTACCACCTCTACTTGCGTGTGTTCACCCAGACTGGGACAGCCCATCTTGGCCACCTCTTCCTCCTCTGCTCCCACCAACGGCTTGTTCTCATTGGAGTCGCCAAGATGGCAGAGGAGATAAATGGGTCAGCAGGGCAGCCAACTTAAAAGAACAAAATAACAGGAGCTCCTACATTTACAGTATTAATATGGTCAAAGCAGGGCTCTAGCTAACACTAAGAATACTGAGGTCATGTTCTCAGTTTTTTCAGGGTTACAAAGGATATTGCGACATTTATACCTTTCTATTTTGGGGGCAATCGGATGTGGAAATAGCTTGCGAGAGTAATAATGGCTGATTATATCCATTTTTATTCTGAAATGTCAGCCTCAGTATCTTACTTCCTGTAGTGGATATGGCCTCCAGGCCTGGTCTGTTCAATGAAATTTCAATATTTTTTTTTACATCTTATCTCATGAGAAGGCCAAACCAACAATGTGTCATTTCATCTATAAGTACTTGCTTGTCTCTCACTCTGTCTGTGGCTCTCAGGTCCAAGAACAATGGTTCCTATTAAAGGCAAACACAGATTACACACTTCAGGTTTCTAAAAAACTAAAAATTCATTTCTAGCTGTAGTTTTAACTGTATTTTTTAACAAATGCTACTCCAGCAGGAGCCCTTGAGTTTAATTGATTAGGAGAGTCAAAATTAGTATAATGCAATTCTGTCAGTAGTCTGATTTTGTCAAAAGAAGCGTGAATTACTTTTTATATTTTTTTCACTCACTCTTCACAGACGGTGACAGCCATTAATTGAAGCTACTGTTATCACTGTGGACTTGCTGTAACTGAAAACAATGTAGAGTATGTGATACAGTGTGAGTCCAAATGTCATTCCGCTCGCTCTCTGGCAGTGCTATAAAATCAATTATATTTCTCTGTAATGAAACACGCCCCAGGCTGTTGACTCCTCATGTCTGACATCTAGAGTGTGGACCGTCACTAAACCAGAAAA